TCCTCCTTTTCATATTTGGTGATATGTAACACTAGCAGTTCAGACACCTAGCAACTAGGTAGCTGACATTTTAACCAAGTCATCTATGAATCTGCATCTATCCACCTATTTCTTAGCTTCATTAATGTTTCTCCTAATGAAATGAATTTGCTTTCCTTTCCCAACACTATGTAAATATAAACACATCAATACCAGTTGTACAGGACAAAAGGGGGTGGGGTTGAATAGCATCCTGCAATAACAATTCTAGTCATTATAGGATAATCTAACCTCATTATTCTTCAAAGAGAATTGAAAGGTAAGAGTCATCTAATATACTGTGATTGTCAACTCTTTTTATGAATATTATGGCATTTTATAGGACAATCATATAAGAGTAAGGGAAAACAGTACAAAACGATTGAATTTTGTTGTGAATCAAAATTAATCAAAAAGTCTAAACTTATTAAAAAAAATTAGTAAAACCAAACTGAAAACCAATTAATGTGCCATAAGATCAGTTGTCCAATCAAACAAAATATCAAATAAGAAGCATCAATCAATATAATAAGGGGATATGAAACATAAATGATTTGTGTTGCTCACCTCAACTTACTGCTTTGCTTACCCAACTAATTAGACTGATGACTAATTGATACCTGATCACTGAATCCCTGTAAGTTAGTCTTCTTCCCATCAAGTTGATATTTCTTGGTTGTGCAATTGCTATTTCAGAATGTCACTTTTTTTTAAAAAAATTCAAACAACAGTACCTTTTCATCTTATCAAATACATGTATATTTGCCCCCTTCTTTACTAAAAATTTTGCCATCTCTATATTGTTTTCCTTGAGAGCCAGTAAAAGTGGTGTAAAGCCATCCTGCAAAACAAAACAAAAGAATCTGTAATCCAAAATCATTGTAATCTTCAACTGAGTTGAGCCTTAAACAGTCCTTATGAATACAAAGCCTTGCTAGAGTGAATAAGCAGCTTCTTCTCTCGAAGGCACATTCCTTGTCCAGGAAATGCCCTACATCTACCTACATGTGACACATGAAACCTTTATTTCAGATTATTTGGGGACTACTATGCGGTGAACTATACCTTGTTCTTTTGTTCCATGTCTGCATTGTATTTAAGCAAATATTCAGCCAGCTTCTGATTGTCTTCAGACACAGCATAGTGAAGAGAAGTATTGCCATTTTTGTCCATAAGATTTGGATCAGCACCATGCTTCAACAATGTACACATGCATCCATATG